GGCTAATCTACATGCCTCCGTCGAAGGAGGCATGTAGTCTAGACACACCCTTTGTGCTACTAAGTTTATGGACAAGAGATAGTGCCACAATAATAAAAATAAATCCTAGTTGGTAATACTAAAATCTATATTTACTCAAGATTTCTTTTCAGACAAGAGAAAGAAGATGAGAAGACTGTTTTCTATCAGCATTAACTTTGTTTAACCAAGATTATTTATTTATAGGAGGAAAATGGGCAAACACGTTGTAAAAAGTTTGAAAGCTTTAGAGTAACAGTTTTCAAACTGTGGGCCAGGACCCCAAATTGGATTGTGACCCCATTTTAAGAGGGTTGCCAGAACTGGTGTTAGACTTGCTAGGGCCCAGGGCTGAAGCCAAATCCTAAGCCTCACTCCTTGGGTCAGAAGCCAAAGAAGGCTTTAGCTTCAATCCTTGGTGAGGGTATAGACCTGCTGATCAGGGATTCAGCACTTGGCCTCTGGCTTTGGTTCCCCCATTTGGGAAAGCAGGGCTCAGACTTTGCTCCCCCCTGCATGTAGTGTAATAATTTTTGTTGTCAGAAGGGGTCATGGTGTAATCAAGTTTGAGAAATGCTGCTTCAGAGAAAAAAACCCTGCAATTTCATTTCCAATCTTTAGCACTAGAGTGGCACTGTAAGTGTTATAGTGAGAATGGAATATCCAGTCAGTACTACTTTGGACTACCTCTTTCTCTGGATTGTCATTAGGCAGCAGAGCCTGTATATCTTGACCAATGGACTGAGGACTAGAGTAGCTTTTTCTTTTGATTGAGCCTCGAGACTCATCAGTGATGCTCTGAATCTGGGACATGAAGGTCACCAAATACAACCAGCATATAAAAGAAGGATATAATTAATTATGCTACTCAAAAGGCAATTTGTCTTTATTTACATAGCTGAACGTTGGAGTATTCTGAAAACAGAATACTTGTGCTTGCCTTTCATAAACATAGTGCTCATTTTCACAAATTAGCATAACGATGGATTTCTAAAATTGATCTGAAGCACTACATTAACTTAACAGAAATAGATAAAAGAGCTATTTTGTACTCAAACATGCAGACTGTACACAAAAGGAAAAAGCTATTTACTTTAATAAAAGGTTACACACGTAAAAACCTCTCTCCATAATAAGTTAGTGGGTTTGTTTTCTTGGTAACAAACAAAAAATTTTACATTAACCCCAAAACAATTGTAGAAAGTGCACACATGCACACACGCACCATATATTGAACAGTCATACTCAAATACTCTTTATAAAGTTTTTTTAAACAATTAGCGTTATACGTTGTTATAACTAATTTAGGCTTTGTTAAGGCACATTAAGTATACGAACACCTGACTGTGATATTTAATTAAAGCACAAGAAGAAGGAGCTTATCAATCACTTGGGACTTATCCTGACCTCACCTCTCTGCCATAATGACCTACCTATTACCCAACGATTCCTTCCAAATTCTTATAGACTACACCCAAACACAAACTTTTATCTGTTCTATAACTTTTCACATGAAAGTGAGTATTCCCTTACAATGGGCTCCTTTTCAGTACACAAGGGGACTGGATTCAGAAGAAAGCCTGGGCATTAATTTAAGGCTCAATAGTTGCTTGCATGTGATTGTGGATCTTAGCTAAGTTCTGTACCTTGGTTAGGCTTTGAAATAATAAATCTGAGATAGATTGGCTGTGGAGTTGAGCACTGAAAGCAAGAAAGGCCAGCAACACATAAAGGATGCATGTTGCTTCTTCCCTTTACAGAGCTGTGAGGATGGCTTGCTAGTAGAAGTTATCCCACTTAAAGTTACAGGTTTAATGAAGTCGCAGGGACCCAGTCAAAATATTCTCATGTCTGTCTTGGTTTTCATTGACAATTTGCAAAGTAGCCCATCCATTATAGCTAGTATTCATTTACTTGGTGCCAGACACAACAGTGCAACCATCTTTATTCTTAACCATAACTATATTTGTGAGAGCGATGAGGAGTCCTGTGGCACCTTATAGACTAACTGAAGTGTAGGAGCATAAGCTTTTGTGGGCAAAGACCCACTTCGTCAGATGCATGTAGTGGAAATTTCCAGAGGCAGGAATAAATATGCAGGCCAGGATCAGGCTGGAGATGACCAGGTGGATCCAATCAAGGAGGATGAGGCCCACTTCTAGCAGCTGATCTGGAGGTGTGAATTCCAAGAGAATAGAAGCTGCTTTTGTAGTTAGCAAGCCATTCACAGTCTTTGTTTAATCCAGAGTTGATTGTGTCAAACTTAAAGATGAACTGTAGCTCAGCAGTTTCTCTTTGAAGTCTGGTCCTGAAGTTTTTTTGCTGCAGGATGGCTACTTTTAGATCTGCAATTGTGTGTCCAGGAAGATTGAAGTGTTCCCCTACAGGTTTTTGTATGTTGCCATTCCTAATATCAGATTTGTGTCCATTGATTCTTTTACGTAGGGACTGTCCTGTTTGGCCGATGTATATAGCAGTGGGGCATTGTTGGCACATGATGGCATATATTACGTTGGTGGATGTGCAGGAGAATGTACCAGTGACAGTATGGCTGATCTGGTTAGGTCCTGTGATGGTGTTGCTGGTGTATATATGTGGGCAGAGTTGGCACTGAGGTTTGTTGCAAGGATTGGTTCCTGAGTTCGAGTTATTATGGTGCGGTGTGTAGTTGCTGGTGAGAATATGCTTCAGGTTGGCGGGTTGTCTGTGGGCAAGGACCGGCCTACCTCCCAAGGCCTGTGAGGTGTAAGGATTTATTGAAGGTACAGTTCTTCCTGCCTGATAAAGTTCCCTCATGGACTTGCAAAGTCTCTTATCCTTCTGAAATCAGAGACTGTAAAATACTTCTTTGATTATCTATTACCATGATAGATGATGCCCTAGATGAGGTAGCACATCAATCTGTTTTTCCATACTGAACCCTGAAAGTGGGTATTGGCTGATAAAAGAGGATCCAAAAGAAAGGCAGAAGACAGAAATTAAAGGGATGTGGCAATTTGAAGAAGTAACTTTAGGTCTGTATAATGCCCCTGCCATCTTTGAAAAGTGTATAGAGAAGGTATTGACTGGCAGCACCACAATGTTTCAACGGCTTGGGTCTCAGAGAAGCCTTCTTTCCAGACTATACTAGGCCCTGTCATAACAGCTAAGCCCATGGCAAAAAGGTTCATCTCTCTTCCTCTCCCTTTTCCCACTTCCAGCTGCTACCATACTGAGCCCTACCTCTGCCACTCTAGAAAACAGGAACCAGAGGAAGAAAACTGTGAGGAAAGGAGAAGAGAGATGTAGAGGGGGAGGAAGATGAATCCTCCAAAATGGGATTTTCTGCAACTGTGCCAAAGGAATTTCCCTACCAGTTTGAAAATACCCTTTGCAAAATGTTTGATGGCCAGGCACATCTTGCCACAGAATAGTAACTGAAGCCTCAAAGGCCCCTCAGAAAACCCTGAACATTCTGTCTCACAGCTCAAGCACTTTCATAATTGAGAGTGGTGCCTTTTCAGTTATTCCGCCATCCTGAGGTGGACAGGGGAAAACCTATTAGTAAGGCGTTGCATGAATTTTCCCATTGTTTGGCTCCAAGAACAGCTCACAGACTTGCCTGAGCCCAAGAGGGAAGCATAGACAGGCCAGCACTATCACTGATAGCAGGATAAAAGGGAGATCAGATTTTGGGATTATAGAGATGTACAGGAGGCCCAGCAGCAGCCCTGCATGTTATCAAAGAGGCAATAATCCCACATCATATAATTCTGGTGCTCCATTGCTGGAATAATGCATTCAGTTGTAGGCACAGCAATACAAATTATACTGATATTTGAAGGAAATTCAAATGGGAGAAAAATATCAATGTGTTAGATTTACATATAAAGAATAAAAGAGATATGAGATAGCATATGCAAAGATAAATTGGAGATAAGATAACAGTTTAGACATATGTAAAATGTGTATAAACATCATGAATGATCATTGGATTTAGTACACAGGATATAAATACAAGTAATGGAATTAAATTTAAATTGAAGATAAAAGTAGGCTGAATATAAATTAAAACTTCCTGGTTCAGGCTCCCCCTCATCTCCTTCTATCCCCAGGCAAGTGTTAGAAGCACAAACATATGCGATTTTTAATTTTGGCAAGATAAAGCACTGGAAAATGCACTGTAGGGGAAAAAGAAAAACTGCTGATTGTCAAAGAGGTACACAGGATGACCTCAAATATGTTTTTCAGCCATAAGTCCTATCAGCATAGGCCTTGCCATGCAAAGCACCAGTCAACCAGTGACAATAATGCACTCTGCTACTTCACATGCCATTCTATCAAGGGCACTTAAAACTTGGCTGATGTTATTGTCATGTGCAATCTAGTTTGTGCAGCAGAAAATGGAAATTACATAACTCATGGCTATGACATTACCTGAGGTGCTATCTAGAGTGCTGAATACCTTTGTCTCATCAGTTATCCAACCTGGGATGCCTTTTACACTGTTTTACAGTGAACAGCCACTCCTGACCAGTTAACACACAGCCTCTAGTATGTAACTTACTCCCAGATGCACAGCATTAAGTGCCCTTGGCAAGCTAGCCACTCCTGTATTACACTGCAGAACACTAACACATTCTTTACAGACTTTCCCCCATAAATGTACATTTTGCATTGCCCAGCACACTGCTGAATAATGCAAGCTCATGGAATAGTATGTCATTTTGTCAAGGGAAAAGGATATGCAGCAGCTTTGTTATCCCAAATGGAGTTTTCCCCACACTTTAATCCAAATACACCAGTTAGATAAAAGAGTGAAAAAAGTATATTAACAGAAGAAAGAAAAGATATCAAGTTATGACAAGTAATGAGGCATCAGAGTCATAACTGGTTACCAAGAAATCAAAAAGATAAAATGCAAACTAAATACATAACTTAACAAGTTAAATGGATTTAAAGCAAATATCTTTCTCACCATAGGATTTGTAGTTCTTTGGCTGAATTTTGTTTTAGCAAGAGCTCTCCTCCCCACTTCCACACACCAAATTTAGTTCTTTGAAAGTCATTGATGTCAGGAAATCAAGCATTCCCCCCCTCCTCACACACTTTTAGAATTCAGTTTCTTGTGTTAGTAATATCCTCACTCAGTCATGTTGACCAAACAATCTCTTGTAGACATGAAGTTTGACCTATTCTTGTAATAAAACATAAATTTCTTGTTCACACCTTTCCCTCCCAGAGAACGGCCATTTAAACATTAACAACTAGTCGGGGTGCCAGTGTGAGTCTGTCTCTGAGGAACTGGTTTGCCTCATCTTTCTAACTCTGGAACATGTTACAGCAATGTTATACAGTAAAATCATATAACTTTGCACACAATGTTGGTACATAGATTTACTAGGACAATAATGTTCTGCAAATTATGAGTTTTCAAATCATACCTGACAATGTATATTTTCTACAAAAGTTGTCAGAATTCTGTAAAATTGGTGAACATAATGATATAGACCAGGAGTAGGGAATCTTAGGCCAGCCCCCGGCTTTCCTGGATCCAGCCCCGGAGCTCAGATACTCCCCAGCATTAGGGAGCCTGACTGTGCTCCAGCCCCACACAGCCTCCCCATGGAGCTGGAACACATGAAATCTATTATGCTGAGCCACCCCACTAAGCTCTGGTGTGCGAAGGAAATGTGGGGAGTGTCTTTATATTTCTCATTCAGCAGGGATCATGGCATTAAGGGTTTGGGATTTATTTTCTTCTCACTTGTGCGTGGCCCCCAACTGATTTTTCAATGGGTCACTGGCCTCTGACCCAAAAAAAGGTTCCCCATCCCTGACTGTCAGCATGACACATTAGTGTTGCTTTGTTATATGCCTAAATGCAATCATCTATTTATAAGATTCATATCACCAAGTAGGATATACCATTTTGGGAGGTGAGAGAACAAGCCATCAGGAAGAAGCAGGAAGCGTGAAATCATTTTGGGTCTTCCAGACATAATGTGTATTCACATTAACACAACCACAAATAAGAATTAAAAAAAAAAGATTGAATCTATTTTAATGCCAGAAGGGATGATAATCTAGTTGGACTTCCTGTATAACATCAGGCATAGAATTTTAATTTACATGGAATTTTTAAGATTCAATTTACAGAGGATCCACCACTTATGTAAACCTAGAAGTGATCCATGCTCTAGGCTGAAGAGCAAGACAAAAAGCAAAAAAATCAAACAAACTAGGGTTTCTGCCAAACTTAATGGTGAGGGGAGAATTCTTTCAAGACCCCAAATATGATCATCAGAGACTGAGCATGTGGGCAAGAC